TTCTTGGGTTTGCTTTCATTTGACCAAGGAGATCCTTTAGGCTAAGCTGGATGACATGTGCAATACATGGAACGCGTATGATCGTAGAGCTATGATTTAGCTCGAGAGACTGGATAGCCTCATTTATAAAGGTCACTAAGGTATTGTTGTTTGACGCATTATCGGTAGTAATTGCGAGTACTCGGTCTATAATCTCATGTTGTTGGAGGAGCTTCATTAGGACCTCACTAAGATTTAGACCTGAATGAGTGCCAGAAAGCGGCTCAAAGCCAAGTAGCACCTCCCGGTACTCCCAGTCATAGTCGAGGAAGTAGCCAGTTACTGCCATAAAGGCCTATTGAAAGGGAGACGTCCAACAATCTAACGCTAGTGAGATCTTTGAGTCTACCGGTAGGTGTCGTAGGATGCTCCGTTGCTATTCCGCCACAAAGTCTCGTAGCCGGGCTCGAATCGTTTTCGCAGTAGGAATATAAGGGTTCTATGGTGCAAGGCGCGCAAAAGAAATAAGGTCATGAAACTCTAGGTGTTCAATGAATTGAAAAGGAAGTCGTGACATAGCGAGTAGTCTTAGAAGTTTATGCTCCCATTCACCCTAGGTGAAGACTTTAGCTTTTGGAGCGTGCTTTGCCTAGTAATATTAATATCTTATAATAGAGAGAGAGATTGAGCTCACAGCGTCCTCCATCATCTGCTTAATGCTTAGCCTTTTAGTACTCCTGCGACAGGTTGGGCCCTTGATGTGCTTATTCATAGAAGACGTTCCATGGCGGCCAAGGGCTAGATGTTCTAGAATAGCAGCACATACCTTACACATAACCATAGGCTTCCCACTCTTTATATCTGCGACTTGTTCGAACTGTTTCCAACACTCAGATTGGTGATTTGTGCCCCAATTTATTCGTTTTGTCGTCCCATATTCTGTCATCAACCACCAAGCAACAAAGGCATCTCTTGACATAGTAGTATATAGAACGTACTGTCTATGCCGGCTGGGGCCAACGCGTTGAAGGCCGTCGGGGATAGGAGGTGTTAGTAGAGGCTGAGTAAAGTCTGAGTTAACGACTGAGGCTGTTTGGCTTCCTAAGGTCTCTAGTGTGAATAGCTGCGGATCCGGAGGGAAACCAAAGTAGAAAGGATCTGAAGAATTCCCCTCATAGACAGAGGAGGACGGAAGATCAGAGAAGTGTAGAGACATGGTCACATAGCTTACAGAGAGACGAAGTATAAGGTTGAAGGAGAAATTAAAAGACTTACAAAAGTAAATATTTAGTAGAATTCATAATGACTAGGGGACGACAAGGGGGGGTTCAGACAGCTCTACGAGCTGAAGGTTCGAAGTTGATAGATCACTATACAACCTACTTGGCAGCGGGACTCACCTCTCTTGATTGGCTAGGATATGAGGGTCGCGAGGGTCACCCGCAGATTTACCCTCGTAAATTTGAGGGTCACCCGTGGGTGAGTCTCGTGACACTCACGACCCTTGTAGTTTCCAAAAAAATCCACCTATGTCCAATTGAGTCCCAAAGACATACCTTTAAGAGCCGCATTAACCTCGTTTTATACTAAAATATAATTATAGATATACTATTAGAATTACTAAATGTCTCTTGCCTATGTGTCCAAGATTCAGCACGATCGACCTTAGTATTAAATACATATGCGATAAAAATCCATTCGGATACACTAGTATATTTTCACGTTAAATATATATTTACACCCAAACAACACGTCTATTAGCCAACCTATCTTAATTACCTAAATAAAATTTCATACATAGTTAGTTGAAGTACTAAAGATTCAAGAGAGTATTATTTAAATCTAGAGAGATTTCAAAAGGGTTCAATTTATTTTGGCGGTTTTACAATATCGATTATCCAAACTACTCGAAAACAGGTATAAATAACGGTATTTTATTGAATGAATCAGCATTTTTATCCATCCGAATTAGGTAAAGCGCAGAAATTTTATGAAAATGAGGGTCCATGAGGGTCAGTGAGGGTCACCCGCGCGAGGGTTGGCGAGGGTCGAGGGTCAGGTGAGGGTCGAGGGTCCAAGGTTCGGACCCTCGCGAGGGTAATTCCGAGCTCTAGCCCCAACTAAGGGACTAGGGCGATTCCTAGGAGCTAAGAGCCAAAATGGGGCCAGAAAATACGGAAACTCCTCTTTTAATCAACAGCTCGTAAAGGACTGAGAGTAGTTATTGAACGGCACCGAAAACTACGATTTCCTTCCCCTCTTCCCCCTCCCGCAACATGTGGCCTTTTGGACCTGTCATGACCGAAGCGCGCTTAATATTTTTGGTTATTTATTTCGTCCTGCTTACTATGGCGGATGTCTCGAACAAAAAGACTTACTTTATTCGCACGAAAGAGAGCACTTCTCTAGAAACATTCCGATCATGTATTAAGGAATTGGACAATGGTCAAGGCACCCAAATCGTGCATGACCATGTGCATCACCAAGGTTATATGACCGAGTTAACCCCGGATGAAGCAAAAAGGGTCAAGGAGAAGGACTTCATTTTGTTTGTTTTCGAGCAAAAGGAACCATATGAAGTCAACGTAACCCGCGCAATTCCTAAGCCCCGATTTGACGATCAACATTTCTTCCCTCAATCTCGATATCAGAAATCAGATTTACACTCACGAAAGACCCAAGCAGTGGGAAGCCTAGTCCACCAGAAAAGGTTTATTTCATGAAATGAAAAAAGTCGCCCACCTATCGATTCCAAGTATGTATCTGACGACAATGACGGCGAAGGTGTTGATATCTACTTTATGGATACTGGAATGAATTTGGGTTTGGATGTATTACTTCCATTTTTCCCTTTCAACGGTAAATCAGAAATGACTTCTTGATACTAACAATTAAAATTATTCAATAGGAACTTTCGGGCCAAGACAGATCTATTGATTATTATATTGTTCCTAACTCGATCTCTGCTAGAGGCGCTACTGCGTCACTCTACCTAGAACGTATTGTAACGGATGTCTTGCTTTTACTTTTACTCTTTTTAGATAACGGATATCTAGAATCGTCTCTATCATTCTGTTCCCTACTGTGACCGGGTGCTAGGTCACGAAAGAAGACGAGGAAAGAATTGGTCCACTGGAGATCTAAGTTGAGGAAAGGAAGAAAAGACGGAGGAAGAACTCTACTTATCTACAATGGTCCTGGTTCTGTGCCTTCTAACGAACGCAGTACTCGAACGCGGCTGGTTGCTCTTTCTTACATCATGCTGAAGTTGCTAGGAGAAATATCGCCTGATTCGTTCACAACTAGACGGGTAGGTGACGTGATCTGAGAATATGCTTATTATTTCTAGACAATGATGTTATCTTGCTAGGCCTGAAACACCTAGCAAGCATATATACGCATTTACGCAAAAGAAAAACGGATATGTTTCTAGCACCAAAGATAGTACGAGACGTTGGATACTGTCCACGAGGGCAGCGAACAGAACTCCGCTACTGATTTTACGTCTTAACCGGCTACATACAATGACTATGCAATCATACCACAAGCGTGCTTGCACGTTATTAGACAGCGGCCCTGACCGTTACAAAGGCGTGATCTTTTCTAGGGTATATCTTTGCGTTTTATTTTCTTTTCGGCATCCTCGAGATAGGAGAAGAGCATATTATAGATACAAAATAGAATGAATTATAATATACCTAGTCTTCGGTGAAACATTAGTAAAACCGAAGAAAGGCTTTATCATTAGAAGCAGATACTCTACCTAGCGCTATTCTTCTTAATAAACCTTGAACTAAATAAATTAATGCGTTATACAATCTTAATCAAAAACTGATTATATTTTTCTAGTACGACTAAGCATTAAGAAGGTGGAATTCTAGCGTATACGAATATCCTAGATAGGAATAAGCGTAGGCTCTTTCTTTCGGAGAGCTAGCAATACCTCCAGACACCATAGACGTGCATCAACAAATACAGCGAGCCCTCAAACCTTAAAAAACATTAGTATGTTCTTAGGATTATAAAGAAGTAAGACAAACAATACTTTCTTTATGGTATATACAATTGACGGCCGGTAGATTCTAAGATAGATTAACCATGCTTGTCAGCGTGTCTGGATGGTCCGTGCAGAGCGTCGGCAACTACGGTGGCCGACCTACTCTCGTCCGACTCTCCAAGGTCACCACGCCATTGGTTCCATGCTTTCGCCCCCAAGAAGTTGCGTGTTCTGGGCCCAAATTGCCGGGTTATTCCATGGGTGCTTGCGAATCAGCATTGTGACCCGCTCGCTCCTTTACACGTAGATAAAAGGGGGGATGAAGCTAAAAATCCAAAATGTCGAGGAAAGCGCAATAGTCCAATTCTAGTCTCTGTAAACTGTTGATGGAATCCGAAATCTGACCCCCTTTGCGAGGTTTACGCCGGTTCGCGAGAAAGAGACTAACTCTGTTACGTCCATATGACCAGCCTGTCTAGCTAGGACTAAATTTCGCTAGATGTCAGGAGCGGGAATTTGGAAGTCGTTACTACCGAATGCATCATGTTTCCGAGCCGGGGGCCACGAAATGTATAAGTTTAGGTTCTAAACTATCTAACTTATCCTTTTATGCGTGGAATTCTTGGCAACATCCACCAGGGGCCGTGGAGAGCAGATAGGGGCCGTGGAGAGCAGATCGGGGCCGTGGAGAGCAGATCGGGGCCGTGGAGAGCAGATCGGGGCCAGGGCTAACCTCGAGCGCAATGAAGAGTTAGAAAATTCTTGTTAATAGTTGCTTGATCCTCCTTCGAACGAGAGATAACATTTTGCTCTTCCAATCTAGTGATATTCCAGAGAAGGCGCAAGGCTGAAGCTCATCCTGAGCATACCACAAAATGTACCTGCGTTCGATATATATTATGTTACTGGCTTTACAGTCAGCTAACGGTTCTCCTACCGGGTTTGGAAACTTGGAGCGTGATATTGTAAGTCAATATCTAGTTATACTAACATCTCTTGCGCCGTACCTTAGACTCACGTCTGCATGCAGGGTAGACCATTTGACTTATACGAACAAGGCCACAATGACGTACCAACGGATCATTCAGTGACCAACTTCTCAATACCTGGTGGAATAATACCACAGTACGATGATGAATTTAATCCACCAAAATTAGGAAAACGCGCGACTGGCTACGTCTGGCAACAATCTCCGACAGTCGCGGAGATGAAATTCCTTTCGCAGCCTCCAGGCACTCGAATTTGGAATTTGGTGGACTTCGCATTCTCAGATTACGCTGGCTCGGGCATTACCATCTATGTTCACGACTCTGGCATCAATACTGAACACGAGGAGTTTACAAGAGCTCCACCCCCCGGCGTCGTGAAGGGTAAAGTTGAGTGGCTTTATCCAGAGCGGCACGGGCTCAGAAAATTCGAAAAGAAGAAGGGACAACCGACAACAGATCCTGATGGCCATGGAACATGCGCGGCAGACAAAGCTATGGGTCAGAACTACGGTGCAGCTAAAGGTGCCAGTCTAAAGATGGTTCCTTGGGTTGATCTTCAAGATCATGACTGGATGTTGGGTGGACTGGAAGCCATTGTCAAAGATATTGAGAAGCAAAAGCAAGCTTCCAACGGGGCATTCTTTCCGGTTGTCTCGTTAAGTTACAGCCTCGGAACCCTAAGTCAATCGAATCGCCGCAAGTATAGGTTGTATTACAAGCAAATGGTGGACCTTGGTGCTGTGATAGTGGTTGCTGCGGGTAATGATAAACAGCGAGGCCGCGAAAATGTTGATCAGCTTCCGGGTTTATTTGCACAGGAGGACGATTTCGCAGACAGTATGGTGGTCGTTGGCTCTGTGGATATCGACGGTTATCCATCCCGATTCTCACAGGGTGGCCCGTTGGTCCATGTCTGGGCCCCCGGAACTGTCAACAGCAATGACCCCAAGCTCTGGGGTGTTGAATGCGCCTTGCCCACCGGTACAACTGGATACACTCGCAAGGAGGGTACGTCGTTCGCAGCTCCGACTGTGGCTGGTGTTGCAGCCTACTTGCTTTCTGTTTATCCAGAGCTTCGCGTTTCGGGTTCGTCAGGCAAATTGGTGGCCGCAAGATTGAAGAGAAACGCATATGTACGGATGAATCTGCAGGGTGGAAAGCCTGGCGTGTGGAACGAGGAATACGGAGATACTTCCTGTTAGTTGGTGGAGCAATTGGGAACAAACTAGAGATCTAAGCAGGTGGATAAGACAGGCTCTTCTTTTAGCTCATATCTAAGAATAACTCCCAGGCCGAGGCCGAAGTTTACCTCAATATTTACTCTCGTACCCTAATCCAAGCTTTGGTCGTTGATCAGGAGTGTCACGCCAATTTTTCTGCGAACACGTGTCCCTAAATTTAAAACAGATACTTCGATATCGTCCTCGCCAAACGTCTTTTAAGCAAACCAGACCATTTTTTTCTCATCATGTCGATCCTGACGCTTCCAAATGAACTGCTTCGACTTATCGTGGAACATTTAGAGACGGAAAAAGATATATTTGCACTACTTCAAGTGAATCGTCGTTTGTATGAGATTTCGATGCCGCTCCTTTATCAACACAATGTCCAATATTTAGCAGGCTCTGCTTTACATCGATGCGCAGCTTCTGGGCAGAAAATTGGTGCACAGCGCCTGCTTGAATTTCAAGCGGACCCAAATACGATCGATGAGCATGGAATCCAGCCTCTTGCCCTGGCTATTGACGAGGGCCATCGAAATATAATTGGCCTACTTCTTGAAAATGGAGCGAGCCTACAGATGGAGGATTTTCTCCCTATTCATCACGCCGTTTCTCTGGGCAATTATGCCGTGGTCCAAATGTTACTTGAGCACGGTGGCGATATCAACGCCATAGACCAATTCGGATGCACGGCTCTGTATCAGGCTGTGGAATCTGGTCTCCTGGATATAGCTGAGCTATTACTCGATCACGGAGCAGATGTTAACATGACTGGTCTTGATACCAAAGAGGCTCGACCGTCTCGTATCAGTCCATTACATGCAGCTTCGGATATTGACAACGAGAATATGTTAATCTTTGACCTACTTTTCAAATACGGGGCAGATCCGAACCCAATCGACGACGAGGGCAAAACACCCTTACATTGGACAGTAACCGGGGACTCTGTTGCCAAGGCTAGAGTGCTTCTTGAAAATGGCGCGGATGTGAACGCGAGAGCGCTCAATGGAGAGACACCATTAGAGATTGCAATTTCAAAGGGGAACAATACTTTGAAGCAGCTACTTCTTAGCCATAGGGCGGATATGAGAGATCCGAATAAAGAGTAAGGACGCATTGAGGAGATGGAGGAAGCCAGTATTTTGATATAGCAATAATATCGGTGATTCATCCTGAAAACCATGATGGTGCGGCTTCATTACCACCTTGTTCTACAATCTCAACCCCGGAGCCCTGATCCATAATGCCTTAAAGGACCGTGCCCAGAGTCCGGACTTCTCTATGCATTCATTGGTCCTAGATCCCTCCGCGCCCCACCTGTATGCCTCTACGTGGTAAGGGGTGTCGCGGAATCCATTGGATTCCGCCTGGCCCCCGTTATGCGCGTCGCGGAATCCATTAGATTCCATCTTTTCGCTCACCTAATTGGTCCACCCCGCAAGAAGACCCACTCTCCCTATGCGCGTCGCGTACCCTACTAGTCGTTTGATCCTTCCCTCGCGTCTATCTTCCCCTATTTGCCTCGACTGGACGACTTTCCAAAGGAGAACCGTCTACTATGCCTTCCTCTCTACCGTAGTGGACCATTATTGTCCCTAGCCAACGGGGGTGGGAGCAGCGGACTCGCCTGGCATAAGGGTGTAAGTCTATACTATAGATAAGAAAAGTGGGGCCATAAGCCTATTTCCGTTAGCAATAAAAGCCCACTACCATAAGGATTACTTGTCCAATAAGTATCAGAGTTTAGTATGTGAAAGAGCGATAATTAAATCATACGCATTTTGAATCGGAGTCTAAAATTCCGATTCGAAGGGGTGGTTGCAGGGATATAAAATGGTCGGGTTATTTTGGTTGGGTAAGATCGGGGCCACCCCCGACCAGCATCACCATACAATAGCGTCGACTTATCATTTTCAAAATTAGTCTAAAGCGGAAGAGATTTTCAGGGGTTTATTCAGGGCCTCGTCGTCGTATCCCATTTCCATTTGATCATAATCTGAGTGGTTTTGGATCTAGCCAACGGGGGTTACTGGGACGTTTATGGGTCCAGTAGGATTACGTAAGCTTAGGGTTTCCTTAACTATGGGACGGCCGACCAACGCCCCAGTAGACATTAAATCAACGTCCCAGTAGAGCTTTTGTCGGCGCCCAACGCTCACAATTGGTGATGTTTGAGTTCATTGGTTCCCACATTTTATTCCCAAATTTCAGGCCCCAATCGCCCCATGAAAGGGTGGTTGCAGGGATTCGAAATCAGGTAAATATTTTGATGGGGGGCGACCGGCGGTTAGCAGAACGCTTCATCGACCATGAGAGGTCAACCACCAACCAGCGATCCCCAACATCCCAGTCCAGAGTTTGAGCTGAAAATTCAGGGGTCGCATTCAGGGGGTCTCCCATATATCCCAGCTGATTTTAAGCGCTATCCGATTTGAATTCAACACCCGTCATTGATAGCATCCACTAGAAGATATACGTCCATCACACACACTTGAGATATATATACGCATCTCGCATCCAACATACCATGGCAGAGTCCATCAATGCCAACACGTTTTTCCAGCCCAACAACGAGCTTGGAGTCGCCATTTGCCGGCGATGCGAGTACGCCGTTAGACCCAGAGAGATTATTCGCCATTTAACGAAGCCCAAGGGCGCGCATGTTATCCCCCACAGCGTCGCAGAAGAGGTACTTACACAGATCGTGAATACATGGCCCAACGTCCGCGATGAACCCACCAACTTACCACAGTCCGTTGGGAAGCTAATTCCCGGGCTGACTATCTACAATGATGGGATCTTATGTACGTTTTGCGGGTACGTTTGCCGTACAATGGAGAGCATCCGGAAGCACTGGCGGACCCAGCATGGGTTTTCGCCATATGACCATAGTCGGAAGCCCCGGCCATCTGAAGTCCCAGCTGGCCAAGACGCCCGGGATCAGGCGATGCGACGCGTCGTGTGCCAGCGGGTTTTTTACCGGAGGCTTGGATCGCATTACATTCACGTCCGACAACCCGGACCCAACTATGAACCCGCACGCCCGCCACCCCAGGCTAATGTGGTCAATGAACTCATCCAGCAGCTCGAACAGACGTACGTTGACTCGCAGGCCCCGGACGACCGTACGATCCAGGCCGGCCCGCTCGATGAGGCGAACCCGTGGCTCCGACGGACGCAGTGGGCCGTGTATTTACAAGGTGTGTATTGATTCGTGCGTCGTTGGGTAGGCTAGTGGAGAGAGAGACCATCTTAGAACTGGGGTTTTAAGGAATGAGCTTAAAACCTGGGTTCTAAGATGGGGCCCACGCCCCAGCTTTGATAGTCGATCGATTAATCCCCAATTTGACTAACTAACGGCTCGTAGGCATCCCCCCCGCGATATACTACAGTCCATCAAGACCCCCCCAGAGGACGCCCAGGGCCCAGAAGGGGCGATGCGGGCCATCTGGGACGCCATAGACGGGGTCGCGCGGATCAGCCAGCGCATCACCAAGCAGACGGGCCATCTGATTCGTGTCGAGGCTGCTCGTACGGAGAAAGACCAGAGCCCGCACGAACCATTACAGGCATATATGGATGAGGAGCAGATCCAGCGGCATGTCGAGCCGTGGCAGCAGATCTTGATGTTTTTCGCTCGCACCCAGGTTGAGCACGATTGGCCGAGCCCGCCGTACCGATTCACCCCCGCCAGCGACGGGCATGGCAGGCATTATGGCGGCATGCGCAGGACACGCGTGGGAGCCCCGACCCATTCGACCATCCGAGCCAGACCCAGAGCCAGGGAGACGGTGGCGACGATCCATACCAGATGACTCCGATCCAGACCGCATGTATGGACTTTTGCATTGAACTATTGAACCAGCGGGCTAGCGCGGAAGAGTACGAATGTGCCTTGATATGCGCATTAGCCGTGCTTGGCCAGGGCCGTGATCGATGGCGCGACGCGGACAGTTATCCCCCAATTTTGTCCAAAACAATCAAGATCAGTCGATTCATGGTATTACACAAGGCGTTGCGTTTGGATCCGAATGCCAAGCAGATTTTACAATACATGCGTGACCGTCATGAAGTAGGTAAGTAAGAATCGCGATGGATGACTTCGTGCATAGGTTGGCTCGATGGCTCGATGCTTGATTGATTGACCGATGTTAGGTACGTGGTCGATCGAAAGCCCGATGGACGATCCCGAATATATATATTCCGGCCAGCACGACGAAGGGTATGACAGCGATCGGAGCCCACGAGAACCATCGAGCAGCCCCGCGTTCGAACCCACACATCGCCAGCCCGAGCCCATGCAATTCAGTCAGCAGCAGCGACGGAAACCGCGTCCGTTTCGCGAGTGGTTGCGATTGTTGACGGACACATTCATGGTGCGCGGGACGCATAGTCCGATGCAGTGGATGCTCGATTTGCGCACGTACGGCTTACGCATCCATTATAGCAGTACGGCCACCGGCCACGTGAGCTGGTCCGGCCAGGACGAGTTGCTATACAAGGAAATCCACTTCACCATGGGTGATTTCCGGGGGTTTACTCACGGGTTGGTCGGCTCCGTACGCCAGCTACTACACCACGAGCTATTGATTGGCGACGCCGCGAGCGCACCCGCCATCCCATGGGCGCAGCTCATGGACGACCCCACGCAGGCCAAGCCTGGGTGGTGCTTTTTAAACGACAGTCGCACCCCGTGGCCCATCGACGGGGCCCAATGGCTCGCCCGCCGGATCCAGCGCGAGCCCCGATTACAACAGCGATTTGTCGACGGGCCCGAGCGTCGATTCCGGATGCGTGCCATCGAACAGTACATGCAGAGCGTGGTCCAGTTCCGTGAGAAGCTCGCCATCGTTTGTCACATCACCGCGGGCCAGCCCGGCCGTGCACCCGAGCTATTGAGTGTCCGCCATCGCAACACGGAAGGGGCCCATCGCAACGTATTCATCGAGGATGGACTGGTCGTATTCGCGACGAAGTACCACAAGGGGTTTTATGCGAGCAACGACGCGAAGATCATCCATCGGTACTTGCCGCGCGCGGTCGGGGAGCTGGTGGTATGGTATTTATGGTTAGTGTTACCATTTGTGGAACGATTACAGGCGTACCAGCACGAGGCTCGTGGTACGGCTCGCGAGACGATTCAGGGTCTGCAGTCCCGTGCCGCATACATCTGGGCGCCCGACCCAACGAGTGGGCGTGAGTGGACGTCGGAGCGATTACGGGAGGCGTTGAAGCGCGAGACGACGATTGGGCTGAATGGGTAAGCTATATGAGTTGTTGATGGCTTGACGGCCCAGCTTGATGGCCCAGCTTGATGGCTAACTACTGAATAGGTACGCATTGACTTTGCCCGCGTACCGGAATATCGCCATTGGGATCAGCCGGCGGTATTTACGGGTATCCAGCGTTTTCCCCCAGAATGTCCAGGACGACGGGACCAAGGTGCCAGCGCATGACGACGATGAACCCGAGGATCACATCGCGGATTTACAAGCCGCGCATTCATCCCATGTGGCGGGCATGATTTATGGCCGCGAGATCACCGAGCAGGCTGGGACGACGGCGCACCGACGGGAGATGTTCCGATTATCCAGCACGGATTGGCATCGGTTTTTAGGGTTCGAGAGCGCCGAGGACGGCTTGGCCAGGGTGCTTGGCAAGCGCAAGCAGGGCCCATGGGAGGCCGAGGCGGACGACCATCGACGTCAGCGCCGATGGCAGCTCCACGAGGCCAATATGACGGAGGCATTGCAGCGGATGACCAACGACGACCAGAGCCAGTTCCGCGGCGTCCAGGGGCCCGCGATGCAGGCGATCCAGCATGGGGTGAGCCCCGTGGTCGTGGTGATGCCGACGGGCGGGGGCAAGAGCATGTTGTTCATGTTACCGGCATGGGTCAGCGGCGGGCTGACGGTGGTCGTCGTCCCATTGATTGCTTTACGCCAGGACTTGCAGCAGCGATGCGCGGTGGCCGGCATCTCGTGCGTGGAATGGGAGAGCCGGCGGCCGCCCGACGAGGCGGCCATTGTACTCGTCACGCCCGAATCCGCGTTGAGTGAGGATTTCATCACGTTTTTGAACCGACAGCAGGTATGTCCCCCCGCGATCCGAGACCCCAGCCGGCGCCCCCAGTTTAGAACCGGGGTTGTAAGGATGCGTTCGAACCCCGGTTTTAAAACGGGGGCCCAGGGATTAGGGTTGATGTCCCCATGTCCCACCGTCACCAACTGAGATGCCCCCCGCGCCCGCAGCTTATAAGCTGGGTTTTAAGAGGTCAGCAGAGGTCCGCTTAAAACCCAGGTTATAAGGTCGGGCCCGCGCATCGGGCTTGAGGTTGGCATCGACGGAGCGTGGGATCCATGCTGATGTTCGTCCCAGGTCATGAAACGGTTAGACCGCATTGTGATTGATGAATGCCACATCGTATTGAATCAGCAGCGCGATTTCCGGCCCATGATGCAGCAGCTCGGACGATTGATGATCGCGCGGACGCAGGTGGTTTTGTTGACAGCGACATTGCCCCCCAGCTTAGAGGACCGATTATGGCAACGCATGCGATGGTCCCAGGAGCAGGTCAGCTTATTCCGTGGTCGAACCAGCCGGACCAACGTAGCATATCGTTTGTGGCGTCCGATGATCGAGCGGGAGTATAAGGGGCCATATCGTTGGATCCAGATGGATCATATCGCAGCATTCATCCGGGACCGCATCCGACGATCGCGGGGCGGGCGCACCATTGTGTACGCGCATATCGTCGAACATGTCACAACGGTGGCGGAGATACTTGGGTGCGAGGCGTATTACCATGACCAGGTGGATAAGGCGGGCGTGTTGGAGCGGTTTCGCAGTATGCCCCACGGAGTGGTCGTGGCGACGAGTGCATTGGGGATGGGAGTCGACATCCCCGACATCCGCAGCATCATCCATTTGGGGCGACCACGAACGTTGCTGGATTACGCGCAGGAGAGCGGGCGCGCGGGTCGGGACGGTCAGGCGAGCGAAGCGATCATCATCCAGCCCGACGGGGTTGATACCCCCCGCCGTGGATGCAGGACACGCCGTCCGCAGAGCAGCAGCGGGTGGATGCATACATGTCAGCCAGTCCATGCCGGCGGGTCGTTTTGGACGGGTATTTGGATGGCGTGGTAGATGGATACCAGCGATCCCATTGTGGGGATCACGATTATAGTTCGGTCACCAGTGAGGCACGATGTGATGGGTGCGACCCCGATTGGCAGGTGATGGAAGAGCAGGAATCCAGCGAAGCTGCCAGTCCGAGAACCAGCCCAGAAGCCAGCCCAGAAGCCAGCCCAGAAGCCAGCCCAGAAGCCAGCCCAGAAGCCAGCCCAGAAGCCAGCCCAGAAGCCAGCCCAGAAGCCAGCCCAGAAGCCAGCGAGAGGGCCAGCAGTGTTGATTCCGAGAGCTTACAGTCACAGGCACCATGGGAGAGCCCCATTCATGATCACATACAGACCATGGCGGCCGGCACAGCATCCAGTCATCACAGGCAGACCATAGCAGCCAGCACAGCATCCAGTCATCACAGGCAGACCATGGCAGCCAGCACAGCATCCAGTCATCACAGGCAGACCATGGCAGCCAGCGCAGAATCCAATGACCACAGAGGTATTCCATTTGGGGTCCGGCAACAGTTCCAGCAGCAGGAAATTGATCGCGCACGCATGTCCGAGCAGCATCAGCAGGCGCGGCAGCAGGAACTGACAGACGAAGAGTTTTTAATGCAGCAGGCGCGGGAATGGCAGGATCGTTGTTGGATTTGTACGCAGGAAGGCCGGAATGCTGAGCACGAATTATACCATTGTCCCCAGCCCAGTAGCCAGCAGGCGCGGGATTGGATGATTCGAGTCCGGCGGCGGGTCCAGTACGCACGATATACCAGTTGTTTCCAATGTGGGATGCCACAGACATTATGCTCCGGGTGGTCCAGTGGGGAATGCGCGCACCGCGGATTATTATACGCGATGGTTGGGATGATGTTGTTTGGAGGCCCCAAGCAGGAGCAGGTCCAGCGATTATGGGAGCAGCGATTAGCTGAGCAGGGGGTGAGTGCACAGGATGAGCCGCAGGTGACAGCGTTTTTAGGGCAACGCAGTACTCAGGGATGGGAGAAGCATACGGAGTTAGTTCGTACATTCATATGGTTGCGGCGGATATATCATGAGGTTGGGATGTAGGAGGGAGGGTTTAGTCGAGAGATATATATCCACAATCGGAATTTCCAAGCCGGTTTCGAGGCAGATTCGGTAGCCGATTTTTATTTTAGAGGTCCAGCAGGCCAGTTTAAATACCAGGCCATATTACACACCCGGTTGGACACCAAGTAAGACAACCAGATTCGGGTGTTATAGTTGTATCAATTCCATTCAGGTTTAAGCAATTGTTTAGTAGTATGCCATAGTAGGAGTCAGTATCACAATTATCAGAGCCATAATTCATAAGTCGAGAGTAAGATATATCATTATGAATCCAAATGTATAGATCCATATTCCCATTTTGATTACTCAGTGATTGATAGGGATCATAATGGTTAGGGAGATAGATGATGGGGAGAGGATTATATAGAGTATAACATTTCGATAGATAGGAAGATCAAGCAGAGATACAATGGTTAGGGAGATAGATGATGGGAGAGGATTATATAGAATATAACATTTCGATAGATAGGAAGATCAAGCAGAGATAGAATGGTTAGGGAGATAGATGATAGGGGAGGATTATATAGAGTATAACATTTCGATAGATAGGAAGATCAAGTAGAAATACAATGGTTAGGGAGATAGATAATAGGAAAGGGATTATAGAGAGTATCATCATCTTAATAGTAAGTAAGATTAAGCAGCAATATAATAGTTAGGGAGATAGATGATCAGGAGGGGATTATAGAGAGTATCATAGTTGAGATAGATAGAAAGATTAATTCAAAATAGAATGGTTAGGGAGATAGATGATAGGGATTATAGAGAGTATTATAGTTCAAATAGTATGTAAGATTCAGTAGAAATGTCATATAAGGGAGATAGATAATAGAGGGGATTATAGAGAGTATTATAGTTTAGATAGTAAGTAAGATTCAGTACAAATATAATGGTTAGGGAGATAGATGATAGGGAGAGGATTATATAGAGTATAACTATTTAGATTGATAGGAAGATTCAGTAGAAATGTAATAGTTAGGGAGATAGATGATTTCGAAGGGAATTCATGGATATCATTATTTAGATGGTAAGTTAGATTTAGTAGAAATATGATGGTTAGGGTGATGGATGATTTTGAAGGGGATTTATTAAGGATATAATTGGATTAGTGTTTTATGATTCAGGAGGAGGTTTATAGAGAGTATAATGATTTTGTTTGAAGGGGGAATTATAGGGAATCTAATGGTTAGGGTCATAGATGACTAGGGATAAGAATTTGATATATAGGGAGAGTAGAAGGGGGAGAGTAGAAGGATTTTGGTTCGATAGGGAGTTAGTATCTGAGATTTTGATATTGTTAATTAGAGTTAGTATCTGAAAATTTGATGTTATTGATTAGATGATGAGTTCGATTTAATAATCGGATAGGAAGATTCATGATGGTATTCATAGATTAAGATTTTCATTTAGATTTATAGAGAGAGGGGAGATGAATTTTATTATTAATGGTATTCGTTATTTCGAATGCGACTTAGTATTAGTGTTATTAATGATAGGGATTTGTATAGAATGTTTTAGGAGGGGTTTCATTTATTTAGATATTAAGTCGAAGAAGGTAAGGGCGAAAGTCAGAGATTGATTGTGGTTAGGGTGATCAGAAAGAGAGAGATTGATTGTGGTTAGGGTGATCAGAAAGAGAGAGATTGATTGTGGTTAGGGTGATCAGAAAGAGAGAGATTGATTGTGGTTAGGGTGATCAGAAAGAGAGAGATTGATTGTGGTTAGGGTGATCAGAAAGAGAGAGATTCAAGGTGGTTAGGGTTTGAAATGATGGGGGAGTAGGAGTAAGAGGGATAGGAGGAGTTTAAGTATAGGTGATGATCGATATAAGCCATATTCGAGTTAGCGTCATATTAGAGTATTAGAGGTGATGAGCGAAGCGAGTCACATTAGAGTTAGAGTATTAGAGGTGATGAGCGAAGCGAGTCACGTTAGAGTTAGAGTTAGAGGTGATGAGCGAAGCGAATCACGTTAGAGAGTTAGAGTTAGGGTAGCCCGTACCGTTAGGGCACCGCTTAGGGTT